ACAACAACAACAGTCCACTATTGTGATAATAGGAGGATGTTGTTGTTGTTGTTATGTGCCATCGAGTTGCTTCAGACTCATAGCAACCCTGTGTACAACAGCCCTAAACTCTGCTCTGTCCTGTGCCAATCGCACCGTCTCCGATACACACATCCTGATTACCCCAATCACTGAATCAATCCACCTCATAGGGGGTCTTCCCCTCCTGCGCTGTCCCTCCACCCTACCAAGCATGATGTCCTTCTCCAAGGACGGGTCTCTCCTCACAACATGTCCAAATATGTTAGACAGAGCCTTAGAATCCTTGCCTCCAATGAGCAGCCCGGTTTTACCCTCTCCAGGATGAATCTGTTTGTTTTCCTAGCAGTCCATGGTACCCTCAATACTCTTCTCCAGCACCACAGCTCAAGGGCATCAATTCTCCTTCTATCCTCCTTAGTCATTGTCCAACTCTCTGATGCATAACAAGTGATAGTGAAGACCATGGCCTGTATCAGACACAACTTAGTCTCCAAAGAGACATCACTGCTTTTTAGTACTTTGGAGAGGTCCCTAACAGCAGACTTTCCCATGGCAATACGTCTTTTTTCTTTTATTTTGGCAATACGTCTTCTAACTGAGGAAAATACGTAAAATTTATAGAAGGAGAAAGGAAAAGAGAGGAGTGACAGGCAAAGTGGAAGGGGTAAAAATCACTGAGATAGTAAAAGTTAGTGGGTGAGTGGAGGGGGGTAAAAGATTAGAAAATGTAAATGGGGACATGAAAAGACTGAGGGATAATAGGCATAGAGTAATGGTACTTATATAAAATATAATGCATATGATTGATTATATAAAATACAAAATATATGTACATAACAAGATTTATATGAATGACCATATGCAAATCAATAATTGTTTTAACTTCTATAGACATCACATGAAGACTCTGAAAAAATATATAATTGATACATGAATGACAATCTACACTCATAAATAGTATTAATAATGTATATCTCATTAAGTTGCACACAGAAGAACAACGTGACTTCTCAAGAAACCTCTCTTTGCCTGATAAAAACCACCACAATATTATCTGAGTCAAATGACTGCTATCTGTCTTTGTAAATAATTATTTTCGGCTATTATTGTCTCAAAAAGAAAAGATTAATTAATTGAGTTGTCATTACCTCCCCTCTAGAAAAAAGTCTTTAAATCTCAATTTCCCCATGTTTGGCATGAAAACAGCAATATCTATCTACTTCAAGGGCTGTTGTTGATGTTGTTGTTGTGTGCCATCAAGTCAGAACAGACCCATAGGCAGGTTTTTATCAAGAGTTAATGGCATGGCAGATTTCAAAGATGTTCATGGGAAATTTCAAAGTCCTGCTTTCAGGATTGCAGGGCAACTTCTTACCACTAGGCCACCAAAGCTCCCTACTTCAAGGATAGTTGTTGAAATTAAATGAGATAAGACACGTGATGTTTCTAACATAGAATCTAGAATACAATAACATTTGGGGGGGCATAGATAATAATCATAGCCTATGGCTGGATAATAGAACTTCCTGTTGGATTATCTTCCGAGCAGAATTTTCTTCTATTTACTTTATTTGACAAGGAAAACCTATCAAGTGGGAAAATGACAACCTCTTCAACAAATGGTGCTGGAAAAACTGGACTGCTACTTGCAAAAGCTGAAACAGGATCCACATCTCACACCCCACACAAAAATCAACTCAAGATGTAGCAGAGACCAGGAAGTTAAGTACAAAACCATAAAGTTCATGAGAGACAAACTGGTATCAAATTTAGACATCCTAGTCTATGGTATAAAGAGACTGCCAAATACAGCCAGAAATGAACAATCTGGAGAAGATAAAATAGATTAATAGAACCTTCTAAAGATTAAATCTCTGTGCTCATCAAAACTTTTTTTCAACAGGGTGCCAAAAAATCTACCTACTGGGAATAAACATTTGGCAGTACTATCTCAGACAAGGGTCTCATAACAAAAAGTTCACAGAATACTATTATAGGGCCTCCAGAGGGGGAAAAAAAAGGCTGATAACCCCATTACAAAATGGGCAAAAGACGTGGAAAGACTTTTCACTGAGGAAGGCATTGGAATAGTCAATAGTCACATGGAGAAATGCTCAAAATCACTGGCAATAAGACCCCAAAGAGATACCATCTCATCCCAGTAGCAATGGCAAAGCTTAGCAAAGCAGCAATCAATAAGTGCTGGAGAGGATGTGGAGAGGTGGGAACTCTCATATACTGTTGGTGGGATTATAAAATGGTACACTCTGGAACACGGTTTGGCATTTCCTCAAAAGTTGAACACAGAAACTCCATATTACTGTTGTAAAGAGAGAAGGATAACTAGTAAAACATGTATGGGAACCCAAGGGGAGGGAAGGGCTTAGAGCAAAGGGTTGAGGATAGGTAGGGGAGAAACCACAGAGTTGCAGTTTGGTGACTGGAGGGAGGGGGTAATGGAAATGTGAAAGATCTGACAGGAACCTGAAATGATTGGGTAATGATTGGCAATGTCCAGTGGTGATTGATTTTATAAAACATAATGCATGGAATGTATGAAATGCAATATGAATGAAGAATAGTGTGAGACACAATGTATATAAACTTTTTTAACAAATCAACATTTTATAAAAACCCAACACTAAATTGGCAGCTAGCACTTAACAACAACTTGCTTTCCTCTCAGTCTTAGCCAGCAGGGAGCTCAGGATATGAGGATTCTAGCCTGGAATTTTCATATAATTTCTCTCCCCCACTCAGCTCACTTCCTTATGTTGTTTTGCACTTTGGTTTTCAATACAATGGTTCTATTGTACCTGTGTCCTACAGATTTCCTTTTAAAAGCAGATATCAGATATTGCACAGCCATAAATGCAAATGAAACTCTGATGTTGCAACATGGATGAACCTTGAAAATATTATTCTGAGTAAAATAAATTTGTCACAAAAGGACAGAAGTATTGCCTTATTTCACTTATATAAGAGATCTGGAAGGCATGTGGTTTGAATCCACCAGTTACACCACATGAGAAAGATGGGCAATCTCCTCTGCGTGATTTATAGATTCTGAAAACCAGCTGGAGATTAGCTATGAATCAGCTCCAATTTTATGACCCCCTAACAACAACAACAACAACAACAACAACAACGTTTATTAGTGGTGACCAGGGACAAGGGAGTGGGGCAAAGGAAGAATCTTTATTTATGAGACATTGAGCTTTGGTGAGAGATGCTGGAAAAATTTGAAAAAGGACAGTGGTGATTGTACATGATAAACATGATTTCAACACTAAATTGGGCATAAAATCAAAGTGGGAAATGTTTTGTCTGTTTATCTATATATATCACAATAAGAGAAAGTAGATTTGGAATGAAGGAAGGAAGGAAATATTAGAGGTATACACATTAAATAAAGTCTTTCTTACAGCACTCTTCTTTCTGCAAACTAAAAGATTGGTGGTTCTAGTCCACACAGAGCCATTTCAAATAAAAAGTCAAGCAATTTCTTTCCATCAAATTAGCCACTGAAAAACCTGTGGAGTATAATTCTACTCTGCTAAGTACAAGGGCATTGTGGAATAGGAATTGACTCAGCCATAACTGGTTACTGGTTTTAATAAACTTAGCTGAGTTACAGGGTGAGAGCCACAGTTCACAGTTATCTTACCTCAAACGATGTTGTAAACCTTAAGCAAACAAAAATATTTTCTATGTTTAAATTGTGTTTTTGTTCTCATACATTTTCTCCCGCTGCTCTCTAAATATCAGCAACAACAACAAAAATTGCCCTCAAGTCAACTTCAAGTATGTCAGAGAAAGAACCGTGCTCCCCAAGTAATCAATTGTTGATTTTGGGGGGGAAGTAGATCATCAAGCCCTTCTTCTGAGGCAACGCTGGGTGAACTCAATCCTCCAAACTTTTAGATTATAGGCAAGTACATTAACACTTTGAACCACTCAGGAACTCTTACTGTTAAGGCAATGTTCTCTAAAAATACTGTTCCTCATGAAAAGATAGACTCATTATCAACTACTACTCCATCAACAGGCAATGCGTAGACTTCTTTTCTCTTTAGCCATAGATGTATACTGCATACATTGTTCCTGCTAACTTCCTCAATCTTCTGTTCCCACAAAGTGACTTTCTCACTTCCCTATCTTGCCTGTCATTCTATACTCATATTTACTCAGCTTCAATAGAAACTCTCTACCTTTGAACTTCTTTAATGAAAACCTCCACTGCCCAAGGAAACTACCATTAAGATTGCTGAGAGACTTTCCTGTAAGTTTCCATGAGGAAGGCCTTTGTTAATATTTTTATTTTACACACTGTCACCCTCATCTAAGATAGAGCCAGCTCTGGAACACTGCAGGTGCTTAATGAACATTTACAAAATCAACGGGGGTGTGAATTTTATGAGTCTTACACGATTCTTTCATTTACAACTTGGTTAACATACCAAGCTTTCTTGAAATGAAACTATTCTGCACCTGTTTGATGGTACACATATGTAAGTGTGTTCTTCATGATATCTTTTTTTTTAACTTAGTTGAATAACCCCAAGTCTATGTTATTAAATTTTGAGTTTTACTGTGTGATTAATTCTGTCAGGAGTTCAAAGAGCATAAAGGTGTCAACTCAACCATATCATTCTCCATTCTGTTATTTACAAATTCACATTTACGAATGGTTTAACTATACCTCAGCCAGCACAGATTGTGTACTTTTCATTTTTAAACATATTTTATTGATTTGCATATAATCATTCATATGCATTGTCTCATTCTTATAAATAGTATTTACTATCCAATCCTTGATATTTCTAATTGCTCTATCCTCTTGTCTATTCTATTTAATAAATGGAATCTTGGTGGGCAGCCTCAGCCAAGATAAGGCATTTTCCAGTACTGTGTGTATGTGGCAAAGACGGAAGAGCAATGCCTTCTACCATTCAAAGTTAAACATAAGTCTACATTACCTCTCTGGATCCTGATGACACACCTCCAGATGCCCAGTCCCAAAATGATGGTGGTCAACAGCCCACACACGATGGCAACCAGCTCCCTGAGGTTACAGACCTGGCAGGAAACCATGGTGAAGTCAAACCATAAATCCACTCCTGGATGAAAAACAATTAGCTTCTCTTTCTTCTTGAACCCAGAGGTCTAAACAGAGTGTATTCTAAAACATAAGAATAATCCTTCTTTCCCTCTTTTCAGTCATCAGGTAGACATCTCTTGATTTTTTTCAATTCTTGAATTTGATCACAATGCAATGCTTGTCAAATGGCCTAATAATAAGTTTATGCTCTCTTCACCATTTCCTCCTCCTTCCCCAGATGAGAATATGAGAAGAGTGATTATGAAAACCGAGCAATAACTCAGAGCAATAAAGAAGAAGAGGGAGGGAATAACCAAGCTGATCAAAGGGTAAATGTCTAGAGAAGCAAGAAGGGAAAGGAAACATCCCAGAGGAAAAACATCGCAGAGGGGGAAAAAAACATCCCAGAGAGGAAAGCAGAGAGTTTGTGGTTTCTGCTAGCGATATGCAGCTCAGGTTCCTGGACTGTGTGTTAGGAAGGACCAGAAATGGGAGACCAGCAGATGGTCCAAGACACACAAATATCTTCTTAAGAAAATGAAGTTAAAAAAAAGAAAATGAAGTTAATTGTTAGTGGTACATGAAACCATTTGCCTCTCCTTAAGGAGCCCATATTCTGCTGACAGTGCCTAGGCATTATTGCCATGAGTAAATTTTTTAAAGCCCTAAAGCCCAACATTACAATCACTCTAAGTTGCTGCAGCTCCGACTCGAGGTTTGAACTTCACTGTCCGTTGCTCAAACTCAACTTAGAGAAAGACAAAAGGAATATTAATCTTCCCAGTTAGGATTCTGTTCCTGGTACAGAGAACAGATACTGTGATCAACACTGACTCCTTGTATTCAAAGCCTTTGACATGTCAGGATTATTACCAAGCCTTCACATTCTCTCAGAAGGAGACCCCTGCAAGAGCTCTATTCACTGCCACCATGTGGAGTCTGACCCACAGCAACCTTCCACTGGGTCCCTGAGGCTGATAATCTTTACAGGAAGAAACTGCTCATCTCTCTCCAGCAGATCTGCTGAGGAGTTAGGATTTCTTAAAAGCCTTCAAGTTGCTCTTGTTCATTGTGAATTACTGAACGTGCATTATTTGACTGTGGAATCCTCTTCTGAAATAATTGAACTCCTCTCCATTATGCTGAGTGAAATATCTCAGTCACAAAAAGACAAATACTGCATAGTGCCACTGTAGTAGAACGGGACTGACATGAGGGTTGAGGTAAGACAGAAAAACTGGATAAATTATGTATACTGCATTGAAACAGATGACATAGAGAACAGTTTAAAAGTGATATATGATAGGGTAATATGGTTATCACAAGAGTCCACTATTAAGGTTGCATAGTGAAGTGTACTCGGGGAGGGGGCAGGGGGATTGTATACCAATGAAGGAATTTTTCTTTTACTTTTCAAAGAGAGTGGCGAACTGTGGGGGGAGGGTTGGGCAGGGAGAAAAGTGCAACAATGAATGAATAAAAATCCAAAATCTCTGTAATTGTTTATTAAAATTAATAAAAAAGCAACTGAACTCCTCTCAGGGTTGTTAGTGTTGTTCAGCATACACTGTGAAAGTATTGCCCTGGGTAATCAGCTGGAGAATAATAGTCTTAGCTGAACAATATGCTAAAGAAACTGGCAATGTTTGCCATCTAATGATGTTGCCTTTCTCTTATAAGGTTCCCAATGTTTTGAAAGGGTTGGTCTATCAAAAAATCACCTTCAGTGGTATTTAGACATTTCCTCTCACAGACTTAATAGAAACGGTGTAGTCCTGGGATGTTGCAATGGCTCTGGTTTCTTACATTCTCTATTTCTTCATCAGTAAGACTAGGTTTAGGGAGTTCTGATAGTCTACTGGGTAAGGGGTTTTGCTGTCAATCCCAGGGCAAATGGTTTAAATCTACCAACCTCAAGAGAAAAATGGACAATCTCTTCAAGTGCAATTTACATTCTTTGAGAACCTGTTGGACTGAGATACAAGTTGTTTCTAATGCAACAGCAAAGAGTTCAGTTTTAAGACCAGGGTTTAGAATGCTTGATAATTGTTTGGCTAAGAGCTGACTGGAACAACACTTCAGCAGAGACCTGCCAGGAGTCCAGGCTGGGTTTAGAAGGGTCGTGGTACTAGGGATATTGTAGCTAACGTTAGATGGATCTTGGCTGAAAGCAGAGAGTACAGGAGGAATGTCTATCTGTGCTCCATTTATTATGCAAAGGCGTTTGACTGTGTGGATCATAACAAACTGTGGCTGACTCTGAGAAGAAGGGGAATACCAGAACACTTGATCGTGCTAATGAGAAACCTCTACTGGGACTAAGAGGCAGTTGTCAGAACAGAGCAAGGAAACACTGCATGGTTCAAAATTGGGAAGGGCGTACTCCAGGGATGTATCCTGTCTATATACCTTTTCAACCTATATGCAGAACAGATCATCCAGGAGGCTGGGCTCTATGAGGAGAAATGCAATATTAGGATTGGTAGAAGATCTATCAACAATCTGCATTACACAGATGACACAACCCTGCTTCCTGAAACTGAGGAGATCCTGAAGTGCTTGCTGCAGAGGGTCAAGGACTGCAGCCTCCAATATGGATTGAGGCTCAATGTCAAGAAGACAAAGATTCTCACCACTGGACCAATTGGCAGCATCAGGATGGATGGTGAAGAGATTGAGATTGTTCACAGCTTTAGTCTGCTTGGCTCCACAATCAACACTCTTGGCACGAGCAGCCAGGAAATTAAAAGACGTATTGTCATGGAAAAGTCTGCTGTTAGGGACCTCTCCAAAGTACTGAAGAGCAATGGCGTCTCTTTGGAGACTAAGGTGTGTCTGATACAGGCCATGGTCTTTGTAATAACTTGTTATGCATCAGAGAGTTGGACAATGACTAAGGAGGACAGAAGGAGAATTGATATCTTTGAGCTGTGGTGTTGGAGAAGAGTATTGAGGGTACCATGGACTGCTAGGAAAACAAGCAGATTCATCTTGGAGAGGGTTAAACTGGGCTGCTCCTTGGAGGCAAGGATTCTGAGGCTTCATCTAACATACTTTGGGCATGTTGTAAGGAGAGACCAGACCTTGGAGAGGGACATTATGCTTGGTAGGGTAGAGGGACAGTGCAGGAGGGGAAGTCCCTCTATGAGGTGGATTGATTCAGTGACTGGGGTAATTGGGATGGGAGTGTCAGAGACAGTGCGATTGGCACAGGACAGAGCAGAGTTTAGGGCTGTTGTACATAAGGTCGCTATGAGTCACAAGCGACCCGACAGCACATAACAATAACAGTGGAGGGGAAAGCCCAGACATAATTTCAGAATACAGATGTTTAAACCTACATAAGAATATGAATTCCTATTGGTTATAGATATATTTGTAAATTAAGATATCTCATTTCTGTTGAGTCTGAGCTAACCCACAGCTTTTCCTCCACTGGGTTTTCAAAACTATAAATTGCACAGGAGGAGATTCCTCATCTTTCTCTCTCAGAGACTCTGGTGGACTTAAACTGGCAGAGTGACTCTGTAATTAGCAGCTGGTGTATTTGAACTACATACCTTTAGGATAGCATAACAGTTCCTTTCCACTAGGCCACCAGAACTCAGTGAAGCCATGAATATGTATAAATGGAGACAAAGAGATACATAGTTACTTACAAATGGACACACAAACAAGAGGATGAGAAAGAATAAAATAAAAAGAACTAGAATGAGGGTAATTCACTCTTTATTCAATTTTTTAATATGTATTGAATATTATATGCAGACACAGTGCCAGGTATGAGGGAACAAAAGTAAACAACAGATTTTTTTTTGTTCTCACACACTTGTTCTATGCCCTTAGACAAGCTATGGAAATGTCCTGGCCTCCAATTATTCATACTTAAAACAATCTGGTTGACCAGCTGCTATTTTCAACTACTGTGTATACATGTAAAAGTTGGACAATGACTAAGAAAGATCAAAGAAGAATTGATACCTTGGAGTTGTGGTGTTGGAGAAGGGTACTGAGTATCCCAAGGAGCGCCAAAAAGAACAAACAAGACTGTTTTGGAGGAAGTGCAATCAGGGTGCTCCAAAGAGACAAGGGTGGTGAACCTCATCTCACATACTTTGGGACATATTGTCAGTAGGGGTCATCATCCTGATGAAGGATATCGGGCTTGGGGAAAAAAGGGTGTTGACAAAGAAAAAGCCCCTCAAAGCAATAGAATGACATAGTTGTTCCAACAATGGACCTGAGTACAGTGGAGATTGTAAGGATGGTGTAGTATAATGTAAGATTTTGATCTCTTGTTCACAGGGTCATTATAGTTCAGAATCCACTCAATCACACTTAACAGAGTTGATCATTTCAGTCCTGAAGACATTTGTTGAATATGAACAAGTTAGATATCTGTTTGGTGACAGGAAGCAGCAGCTGAGAGTACAGTATCAGAGGTCAAGAAAGGTAGGAAGGGCATCTTCAAAGGAGAAGGAGCGGCTGGAGTGAGGCATCAGACTTCAAGCAGGATGAAGAGGGGCTCACATGATGGGGAGGAACAGATTGGCATGAGGTGTCAGATCCCCAAAAGTGTGAGGCAGGTGTCCATGTGAAAGTTCAGCGTAGGAGTTCAATGCAGGAGATCTCAGAGCAGGGAGATGAGTGTTCCTTCAGAGAGACACTTGTTCTGGGGTATGAGAGAATGAGAGGCTAACGAAGGCTTCCACACAGGTTGGCTGCTCATCATGAGACATCAGAGGCAGAGTGGCATGGAAAGGTACAAGTGTGTCAGTAGTCTAGAACAGAGAGTCTGAGTTCAAGCTAGTGTTCTCTCTCCTTCTCTGGATGTCCACACACAGGTGAAGGTGAGTGTGAAGATAGATTGTTTACACACACTTAAATCATCAGATATATAAACATAAGAAACACAGGTGTTGGTTTCTTACTCAAAGAGAATACAAAAGAATCAAAACCATTGTCATCAACTCAACGTCAATTCTGATTCGTA